TGTTTGAAACGTCAAAGAAATTGCTTTATCTAATCAAAAAATGTTGACTGAGTACCTATATTTGTAAAATACTATGTGCCTCCTGGGCAAAGAGCTCTGATGAAATTAGATAGATAAAAATTTAAATTAAGCAGAGTTGTTTGTTTGTTTGTTTTACAGTTTCCATTTCTATTCTGGATTCTAATTTATATCATTACTTACATTAAATTAAAAAATTGATATCAAGGCCACTGAGCCAAAGCATATTTATTAAATATGCAACATGGCAATTTTTCTGAGATTTCAAAATATAATTTTTTATATTAAAATTTATTTAGAAAAATTTCTATTTTAAATATTGCATTTGCTTATCTTGCACTGCAACTGACTTATGCTTACTTGCACTGCAATTGACTATTCATTACTTCAAATTTCAGAGAGTTCCTTGATAGTCCCCTAAAGCTGTCTTGTAAATACTTCCTTTGAATAGAAAGAGTACAAAGTGTGAAAACCTTGAATTTTAATTTTTAAATTAGTTTTGGCAAATGGAAAATATTTTACCACTTCAGAAGCTCATAATCCATTAACTCTAGCGACCTAAGAATAGAATTTATGAAGACTCAGTAGAAAGACAATCAGAAATGCATTTTTTTAGTAAAAAATAGGAAATGGCAAGAGAGAAAATGCTACTACATTCTAGTAATTACAAAATGCAAATCATGGATTGGAAAAATTTTAAGCAGAATATTTTTACTACGATTTTTAATATGTCTTGTAATCAAGGATCTATAGCTAACTGTTTTATACTTTAGCTAAAACCTATTTTAGTCTACTGTGACACTGTCTTGTCACACCAGACAGTTTTCAGTGTTGTCACTAGGACAGGATTGAGTGTTACCGAAACATACACATAACTCCTCTAACATTATTTTCTCCTTGAAAAACAAAACCCAATAAAAATGTCTTGAACACCTTTGTATATATCATTTCAATTAATAAGATTTTTAATTAGTCCTTACTTGTATGTTCACTTGTAAAGAAACTCTCCACAGGTGGGGCTCATAATGCACACATATGGGCAGGCAGATTCTATGCAAAACTTCTCTTTCCTGAAGGGCTATATGATCCAACACGACTTTGCATCACTAAGCGTAAGACATAGTCTTTTACATTATAGGTCCTCATTATGCAACACCTTCCAATTATTAGTATGTTTCAGGAACTGCACTAAGTATGTTACATGTATGCTATCATTTAATCATCACAATACCTATAGACAAAGAAACTGAGGCTCAGAAAAGTTCACTGAATTGCCCAACACCAAAAGCCTCTAATTGACACTGAAGACATACATATTTCTAACTTCAATATGCATTATAATTTTATAGACAGATTTTGCAATATGGAACAAGGTAATTTGCCACTGGTTTATCAGTATTAGATGCATTTTTTTTTTATTTTACTGGCGTGTCATTTCAAAAAAAAAGATATACACAAATAAGGTATAACAATTAAAAGTAAAGGTATGATTATTCAGCTGCCCACTCTTGAAAACCCTGTGTTGACTGTAACTGTTTATGTACCCTTTGACATTCAAAATATAACCTGTGACTTTCGGTTGTACATATGAAATGTGTTCAAATACGCCCACCCCCCATCTTCATTCTGATGCCCATTGCCATGTCGGTGTTCTTACTTGATTGTACTTCTCCCATAACTCATCTGTAGTCTTCTCTTCTACCCAAGCCACGGCCCACATTGCTACCGGAGATATTGTTCTAAATTGGGAATTCAACCTATTCACCTAAAAATATGATATCTTTAACCTATAAAAATTAAAATTCTTAGACATTCTAGGTCTTTTTACCAAAATGTCTAGATTTGTATTACTTTAGCACCCTGCAGTGCTCCTTTGCTCGAAAAAGTTATTTCTATTTTTTTTTTTCAGACAGTCTCATTCTGTTGCCCAAGCTAGAGTGCAATGGTGTGATCTCAGCTCACTGCAACCTCCACCTCTAGGGTTCAAGTGATTCTCCTGCTTCAGCCTCCCAAGTATCTGGGATTATGGGCAACCACCACCACACCCAGCTAATTTTTGTATTTTTAGCAGAGATGATGTTTCACTGTGTTGGCCAGACTGGTCTTAACTCCCAACCCTCAAGTGATCTGCCTGCCTTGGCATCCCCAAGTGCTGGGATTACAGGTGTGAGCCACCACGCTTGGCCAAAAAAGCTATTTGTAATGATGAAAAATAATAATAGCAACAGATAAACCCTAAAAATAAAATTTAGATTTGACAGAGTAATGTTGGTTTTAACTTATACTTGAAAAAGTACAAAAAGATCACCTAAAAACCCCAGCATTATATTTTCATTAACGTAGTTTATAATTTTTATGTCAATTGTTTAGCAAGGGTTATTTTAAAAATTAAAGAACAAACCTACAATGTGAATTTAAAACACCGCTGTTCAAAGTTGGCTTTTATTATGAAACTAAGCAGAGTTAATTGTATATTTATTTCCCAAACATATTTATATTTGATTTCAAAACTTGTTTGTAAAGATAGCAGTTGATCACAACTGATATAATTGTATTTTATAGTTGTAGGTAGATTTTATAAGAAGAGGAACATCACTGAAACTATATTGATAATAATGGTGAAGAGAAGCAGAAATACTGGTTAACATGCTACTTCTGTTCCTTGCTAACTAACTGTCCTAGCACCATGCAGTTGTAGGAAGGGAGTAACACAAAAGACAATAGCTCTGCTACCAGGACAGCACTCAGGAGTGTGGCCAGGCTTGGCAGAAGAAGCAAATTACATGTCATGTCCCCTACTCTTACCACAGGGTGGAAGGACATTATTTTTGAGTGCAAACGACATCAGAGTTATAGTTCCTCGATTTAAAATGAGAAAACGAGGTCCTGAGAAAATGAAGGAAACAGAATTTGTTGGTGGTATGTTTCCAACAGGCTCACTCTCATCTTTGACATGTGCTCTGGAACTTTTCTATGAAATCACATTGGTCACTAAAGTGTGACCACAGTCACTGTCTCTAAACGTTAACGGAACACCTGTTCTGTGCAAGACACAGAACTATTCATTGTACACATACTTTAGAATCTAACCCTTTTAACAGTCCAATAAAGCCGATACTCTTTTCATTTTATAGGTGAACAAATTGAAGATAGAAAACTTGTCCAAGGCCCAATAACATGAACTCAGTTCAGTCAGACTCCAACCATATCTTCTCTCCTATACCTTACTTATGCTTTCCATCATGAAAAGGTTGAATTTGGTTTTAGAAGGATAATTATAGCTTACAGTAAAAAGGATTTTATATCATTGTTAATAATTATATCAGTGTCATTATCTTTGTTAAAGATATTTAAAATATTACTTTAGGCAGCAGCACTACAAAAGGTAGGTTTTGAATCCCCTGGTTCCTTATTAAGGGATAAAGCATATTGTCTGACGGTAAAGGGTATACACATTAAGGGAAACTACAATACAGAGTATCAAGTGCAAAAATAAAGCAAGCCCATGTGGAGCTATGTAAGTGTAACTCAGCCTTGGTCCAAGCAACATCTACTGGCAAGAAATATATATGGAGAAAATTCTACACTCAGAGAACGCTGATAGCACACATAGAGCATTAACATGTGCAGGCTTTCCATTCCTTCCCCCATTGACTACCCTCAGTTTTGTCAAGTCTTTCTATTCTGAAACTGCAATTGCTTGCCTGCTAAGCCATTACACATGGAACAAAGACTGGGCAAGGAAAAGGAAGGACAAAACTCATTCTACTGACCCCTAAAAAATCTAGAGCTTATTTTGACATGAGTTTCAGACAGCCTCTAGTAAGGATGCAGGCTGTGCAAAAGGGTGCATTTGTTGGGTGCTCAGTAAAAACCATTTAATAGCCAAGTCCTGAAAATGCAGAAGTTCTTGAAAATAATCATTTACTCCAAGGGATTGCCTCTTAAGGATCATAAAGCCCATGTTGTCCATATTTGGGGAAACAATTTTCCAGAAAAGTCAGAGATGAAATCAGGAAAAGGCCATCCTCTGAAATGGAGGATGTAATTAGTAAATGTTGCCAAAGCCAATGAGTTGCCGTGTTAGCAGTGACTCATTATAGGAGATTGTAATACATAGGACCTGTACATTACAATCCACTGGTATCGTTCAGATGTTATAATTGTAGTTTGTGTGTCGGACATAAAATTCTAGTGGCTGTTGTCATTAAAACTATCAAACAACTTAAGGATAAGAAGCTAGTACATATGCAAGACTGCCCAAAGGAAACAATATTATAGTTTTAGACAACTCACGCATTTTAATCAGAAACATGTCTGAAGTGGTGAAGGCTACTAATATAGCTACTCTACTGTGATGAAAAATATCCATTTAGAGCACCTGAAAATGTGTTGTAATTTTGTGTACCCAACTGAACTACTGACTTAAAACTTGGTTTACAAAACAGATTTTCAGGGATAGTGGCTGAAGCAACAGATTGAATAATCTTCCCAGGAGGGCAAAATCAACAATTTTTTGGTTATATTTTCCCCACAGTTTCTATCACAGCACTGTAGACAAAACAAAACAAAGCAAAAGAAGGCCTTATCACTGCATTTTAAATGCAATTTTTAAATTTCCCCTTGTAAATTAATAAATTAAGACTTTTACTAAATAAATTATAACAGCACAGCCTAATATATCTTGGTGAAATTAGAAAATAAATTACAGAGTCTACAAAACTGAAGGTCGCACTTGAGACCCTTTTTGTCTATTAAGGTACCAGCTCCTATTAAAGGTACCAAATCTTTTGACTGATTAAAACGATTTAAAAATGTTGTTACATCCAACTCAATTACACCTTATGAGTATTACAGGCAATCTTGTACACTATAGAAATCTTATTGGTACAGAAGTATAGTTCAGTGATATGGATGAGAAATTTATAAATCATATTAGAAAAAAGAAAAGACAGACTTTAATAGAAAAGAAAATGTCTTACTTGGTTAAGAATGTCTTGTTTCTGTGCATGCAAGGAAAGAAAGAATACATGTGTTAATGTAAGATAATTTATACTCATTATCTCATATCTCTGATAATTTAGCTAAAAGTTCAAGTTTACAGGTTGATTTTCAAACATACCCTAGATCCATAGGTCTCAAAATGTGGTTTTGAAACAGTGGCAGCAACAGAAGCTGGGAAACTGACAGATATGCAAATTCTTGAGCCTCCACCCCAAAAACACTGAATCAAAAACTGCAGGAGAAGGGGAGCCAGGCAGCAATCCATGTTTTAGTGTACCTGGTTGATTCTGAGATACACTAACATTTGAAAATCAATGACTAGATCCATCTTTGTGTATAATAAGCAAACTCTTCACATTAAATATAATGTAACACATATAGTATAATTAAAATCTTTTAGAGGATTAGTAGAAATGCAACCATGTAGATAAAGGTATATTAGATTTTGAATATGTATTTCAAATTCCTAAGCTTTCCTTCTATTAGCATAACTAGCGTCTCTCCACACTTTTAAAGATTAAAATATATTCATAAATACTTCTGCCACTTTCTTCCCATTTCTCAGCTGTAAGTTGAACAATTTGGAATTGAACTTGAAGTCCAAGACCAAAAGAAAATAAATGTGCAATGCTAAACTGGCCTGACTATGTTCTACTGTGAATACTCTCTCACGGAGACTGGATCTCTGCTACAAACTAGCTGTAATAATATTCTTAACATTATATTATTTACACAAGAGTAGGTGAACCCTAATAAGACTCTCTTACCTCGTTCAGCATGGGCCATTAATATGTATGTGTAGTGGGAAGTGCCACACTCAGTACAAAAGGAATGTCTTCCCATGCCTTCCCCTAACTTTTCTCCTTCCTATCTAAAAGGACATTCTTTTTTTTTTTTTTTTTTTTTTGAGACGGAGTTTCGCTCTGGTTACCCAGGCTGGAGTGCAATGGTGCGATCTCGGCTCACCGCAACCTCTGCCTCCTGGGCTCAGGCAATTCTCCTGCCTCGGCCTCCTAAGTAGCTGGTATTACAGGCACGCGCCACCATGCCCAGCTGATTTTTGTATTTTTAGTAGAGACGGGGTTTCACCATGTTGACCAGGATGGTCTCGATCTCTCGACCTCGTGATCCAGCCGCCTTGGCCTCCCAAAGTGCTGGGATTACAGGCTTGAGCCACCGCACCCGGCCTAAAAGGACATTCTTTACCCCTACGATCTGGCCAATGAAGTGGAGAGCACAGGGCATTAGCCTTAAACTGGGATTCTAGTCAATAAGGTTTTCGTTGTGGTTACTGTCATGGGCTAGCTGGTCAATCTTGGAAACATCATTTCACTTTTCTTAAAATAGTTTAACAACTTCGTAATTTTCTTAGTTTGAGAATCTCAAGGCCTTTTAAAGGTTTTCATTCCTGCAGCATCTTTAAGGCTATTGTTTATATTAATCTTATTCATTTCTTCAAGGAATACTTATCAAACGATCTTTAAAAGATACCTATGAAAAGTAGATGATTCATTCATACATTATCCATAACATTTTTTTCTCTATTAAAATAGACTTCAACAGGTCACATCTTTTTGGGTTAACTTTTTATCTACAGCACTTTAAAACTTCAGTAATTCAAGTGAATTATAAACAAAATAGTACATCTACCATTTACACAGCTTTACATTATAGGAGGATAAGCAATTTAACAGATATTCTCTTGAAATTACATTTTATATACAAGCCAAGTTCCTTTTAGAGAAAATGGAATAATTATTCATTTCAAATTCAGGCTGGATTACTCACTTGTCTAATTTTTCTTGCATAATTGAGCATCTTTAACTTGTCATCAGTGCAAACAACTTTAGGGTCAAGGTGACCAGTCAATGGAGACCGATAACGTCACATGTGAATTGACATTAGGAATTCTGTCATATTGTAAAAGTAATATTTTATAAATTGAAAGATCATCTATTGAAGAGAAACTTAAGGGTATAAAGAATTATTTCTCATCATTGAATATTCCCAATTAGTTTTTGATTGGCTTTTAGAAGATACATACTAGCTTTTAAAATGATTATATAAACCTTAAAATTTTCTTCTGAAGGAAAACTTTATCAGAATTAATTAAGATCACAAAGCGGTTTAGCTCTTAATTAAGAATTGTTCTTGGGTTATAATGAGATCTAATTTTTTGTTTTTCAACTGTTTATTATTTTAATGACACATTTCAACAATAGATCTGTACATTATGAAATGTATGACACTGTTGAAAAGGGTGATATGTGTGTCTAATAATGAATCTAGTAACTACCTTAATAGATGCAGCATATGGTGACTGGTAATTCGCATGAAATATATAACAGCAACACTAAGTCTTGAGAGTCCTATAAATAAGAAATAATTGAAGAAAAAAGGCTGCTTTGCAAACAAGATCACTTAACTGAGTTTGTAGCCAGAAGCTATCATTAGGGAGAAAAAACAGGTTTTATCTCTGTATATAGATTAGATAAGCATGTCAGATTTCAGGTACTGCTGTAAATATAAATATTAATTACAATTTTTGTGTTGTAGGAATTCAGTGTTATAATTCATCTTTACTTTTTCAACTCTTCTTTCTTAGACTTTGAGATTCTCAGTTCTATAAATTCAGCTGCTAACTTTTTTTCTCCTCCTCTATGACACCTAGGAAAATAAATATGAGGGAAGTGTAGCTTAGACAGCTATTTTTTTTTCTAATAGAGAAAAATGGGAATGGTTTTAAATAGTATTCATATTCTCTATCATTTATAGGCAACAAATATTAATTTTATTTTTTAAGAGTAAGTTCTAGGCTAAAGAGTTTTAAAAGTTAATGTACCGGAATGTAGAGAGAATAAGAAAATATGACATGAAAAATAACTAACTATGAGAAACACAGATAGAAAATTTCAAAACAATTTGAATCTCTTGAGGGTTATGATAACTAAAATTAAGTTCTATAAATCCCTGGGAAGCACAATATTAAAAGATAACTAAGAAGTGTGTTCTTGCAAGCATACAGAAACAAAACAATAACAAAAACAGGTCACGTTTTAGTAAGCAAACAAATCTATCTAGTTAATACATCCAGACAAAAGGGTCTTTTGTGAAGAGACATTCGTTTTTTGCTCCAAAGCAATGTAAATGGTGCTTGCTCAAGCTACAAATGAACTAACAGTAACAATGATCAAACATTTAAAGTGTAACATCTCTCAACTAATATGAAATAGAAGGTAATTTAAGAAATAATTAGGAAGGAAAAGACATTCATTCAAGCATGGTGTTCAAAAGAAATTGACAAGACATGCAAAGTTTTAATAAGAAAATAATTTTAAGAAATCTTAAACTTACTGGTAAAAGGTAAAATATAAGATTAAAAAATTCGTCCCTTTTTGTACAAGTTGGCTCCTTAAGGCGACAGACCAGGTATAAGCAACACAAAATCCTTGTTTGGTCAAGGAAATAATTGCCTGAAAGGAGTAACTCCCTACCCCTAAACCAATATCCCTTGAGGGCTGAAATTTGTGGGTCATAGACTGAAAGCCAGGCATACCCTTTCTCTCTTTTGTCCAATACTATTTCCTGACTTCTGGGAAAAGAACCCAATACTATACTTAAATGATGCATATTCTTTGAAGCATACAATATAGTAGAGTTATGTCAATGAAAAATGTAGTACAACATTTAATGTATCTTCTAGAATACCACTGCATTATAAAATTCATTTTGTTTAGGTCATGGTATATGGCAAATGGTTTATGGTGAGCATATAGATATATATACACACACACATACACATACACATACATATATCTGTATCATACATATATAATGTATATGTGTACATATACATACACACACATACATTTTTCCAAGAATTTTTCATTAAGAAGTATCCTTTTCTAAGCATATATATGAAACTGATATAAAGAAAAAGAAGTTTTACCCCTTCAGGATTATACTTTGCAAGCACACCATTACCGTGGAATTCTTCAAGAACATCCTTTAATTTCTTTGTAGAATCTATAAAAAAAAACCAGAAAACACACAAATCGTTTATATGCACATACTGTGGTGTGTAGCCCAGTCCAGAAAGAGGCCACTTAAAATGCAAATAAGCGTGAGCAGAAACTAAATTTAAAAACCAACATAAAATGTCTCTTGCCATTTTTGAGAGGCTATTTAATTGGAAAAGAAATTACAAAGAAACAAAAAGATCACTGCATTAAATAAAAACAATACTGCTGGGTAAGAAAAATAAAATCTGTAGCTAAGCCTCAATGGTGAAGCCATTTAGAGGGAAGTTGTAGATTTTAGTATGTTGTAGATATTTTTTAAGGAGAATTTTCTCTATATACATAACACAACTAAATTAAAGTTTCCTTTAGTAATTAAAGCCTTAGTAAGTAAGCTTTAATTTAGTTATGTTACATAATTTACCTTCCATATGCATAATGACTAACACTTCAGTTTTGTTATGCATAAATTAAAGCTTACTTTAATTCAAGGAAGAAACAAAGCTTAAACATGTTAATCAAAAGAATTATAAATTATTTTCTTCAAAAGTACTATTATTTTTAAACCTTTTATATTATTGGTAACAAAAATTTTAAGTTAATAAAATAATGTCATAAAAGAATTATCAGTATTATTACAGTTAAGTACATTAAGATAACATATATTCACCCAGTCTACTAAAATAATGCTCACTATCCTCACTGAAATATAATTTTTAATTGAGAAATCTCAAAATTACAATGCATTTTAAAGTTAGAAGGAAATAATAGCTAACAAATGTGGAAAAGTCATCTAAATATTTAATCCTTTGAATAATAATTTAAAAAACTTGGAAATTAAAATGTAGAAAATAAGTAGATTTTCCAGTTTTCTTTCATGGAACAGAGCATGGACAATTGTTTGCTACCATTTGAATATAATTCATTTTGACTTTTCCTAAGAGTCAGTTATATTTTGACTACCACAACATATATCCTAGTTCCAGAAAACTAATTTACAAATGAACTTTTGAAACATCCTACTAGAAACTCTCATACATGCCCATTGAATACATAATACCTATAGTTTATGAATTGTACTTTCACTTGGAATGTACAATTTCCTTTCTTTATATTGGAATTCTGTGGGTTTGTGGATGTACGTGAAATAGTAATTTTTTTTTTTTTTTCTTTAGATGGTGTTCTGCTCTTTTTGCCCAGGCTGGAGTACAATGGCACAGTCTCAGCTCACTGAAACTTCTGCCTCCTGGGTTCAGTCGATTCTCCTCCCGCAGCCTCCCAAGCAGCAGAGATTACAGGCACCTACTACCAGGAATGGTTAATTTTTATAATTTTAGTAGAGACAGGGTTTCACCATGCTGGCCAGACTGGTCCTGGACACCTCACCTCAGGTGATCTGGCTGCCTCAGCCTCCCGAAGCACTAGGATTACAGGCGTGAGCCACCATGCCCAGCCTGTGACACACTATTTTTAAGTGAGATAAAATTCATGCTACATAAAACTAACTACATTAACAATTTCCAAGTGTACAATGCAGTAATATTTAGCATATTCATGATGTTATATAATCATTACCACTATTGAATTCCATAATACTTTCATCAACCTGAAAAGAAAACTTATACCCATTAAAAAGTCACTCTGTATTTTCTCCCTTCTAACCTCTGGCTGTCATTCATCTATTTTCTGTGTCTGAATATTTGCCTATTCCGGGCATTTCATGTACATGGAATCACATAATAGGTTTCCTTTGAGTCTGGCTTCTCTCACTTAGCTTTGTGTTTTCAAGGTTCTTCCACGTTATCGCATGAATCAGTACTTCACTTACAGCGGAATCATATTCCATTGTAATGAATACACTACATCTAAAAAACATCTATTTATCAGCTGATATACATGCAGCATGTTTTTAGGTTTTGGCTGCTATGAATGCTGCTATGAACATTCCATTGTTTTTGTATAAACATGTATTTTAATTCTCTTGACTATATGCCTGGAAATAAAACTGCTAGGTCATTCAGTAACTATATGTTTAATGTTTTGGGGAACTGCCAAATTGATTTTCACAGCACCTGTACCATTTTACACTCGGATCAGTAAGGTAGAAGGGATTCAGTCTCTTCATATCCTTCCCAACACTAGTTATTTTCTCGCCATTTCTTCATTATAGCCATCCTAGTGGATGTGAAACGATTTGATTCATGTATGATTAGTCATTTGCTAACGACCAACAATGTTGAGCATCTTTTTATATGCATATTGGCCAACTTGTATATACTTTGATGAAATGTTTATTCAGGTTCTTTGACCATTTTTTAACTGGACTTTTTGTCTTTTTGTTGTGGACATCCTCTGGGGGGTGTGTGTGTGTGTGTGTGTGTGCACATGCATTTGCTTGATGCCTATACCGCTTCCTCAGTATTTCTTTTTTGGTGTATAATGTGCTGGCATCTTTCATATTGTGATCAGAATTAATTTTTTTATGTCACATCCCTTGCTAGATTGAAGGTTGATCTGGGGAAGAAAATGTGTGTTTTCATTTTTGCACACCTTTCAACTTTATCACAAAGCTGAAACAATAAAATTGCAATAAACATTAAGATTAAATTAATCAGAGCTATTCCTGAATGGCAACAAATTACAGTAATTGCTTCAATATGAACTTTGTTTGAAACTTACAGGGCAGAGACCAAATTGTGTATTAAAAAGATACATGAAGCTGATGATCCCTTATTCTCAAATCCTTCTTTGTGGATAATAAGGCACTATTCTAAGTTAGCAGAACCATTTTTACTTCTTTTTACTCATAATTGTAGATGCAACCCATATACACATATATACAGATATACATTCTGGAATATCATAACTCAATAGACTATGTATATTTCAACCATATCTTAGGCCAATGACACAACTGTAGATACAACCCATATACACACATACACAGGTATATGATACAATTGTAGTTGCAGTTGTAAATGCAATTGTATCATATATCTGTGTATGTGTGTATATGGGTTGTATCTACAATGCAACAATGCACAATGCACAATGATACAATTGTAGATACAACCCATATACACACACATACGATGCACAATGATACAATTGTAGATGCAACCCAGATACACACATATACAATTGTAGATGCAACCCATATACACACATATACAGATGCATATACATTCTGGAATATCGTATCTCATAGACTATGTATAATTCAACCATATCTTAGGGCAATGATACAATGGAAGGCAGAGAAAAACCGTTTCGGTTTCTTCCATATAGGCTTCTCACACAACTTTAGAGACACTTCCTAGATGGCTTTTTCATTTCACGTTTCTATGAGAGTAAAAATCCAGTAATTATTGATAAATGACACAGACAAAGGGAAAGCTCATGAAATTATTCCTATTTTACTAGTTCACTGGTCATAGTTCATACTGAATATTCTTAGTAGAGAACTCATGAGCTAAAAGCCACAAGCCCCTAGATATATGACTGCCCTTTCCATGAACTGGAGCTCAATGATGACTTGGTCTGAGACAATTTGAGGTGCTCTGGTTGATATTCAATTAGACTCACTGCCTCTCCAATTCTCAAATTTCAGTTCTAATATCTTAATATCTGAAATTTAACTATGGCTTGATCTCCACTACACAATCTAGTTTAAAAACTGCAGCATTATCTTGTTATTATAGTTCTATCTCAATAAACTTTCTTGGGCCCAGTTTCTCTAAGGCCGAGACCCTGACTTGACCGGTCAATCTTGTAAAGATTAGGATTTGTGTGTGGAACACCAGAGAGTTCAGGATATCCATAACCTTTCAATAACATTTCTTTTACATGCATTATCTACATGTCTTCTTGGGCATCAAAATTGCACTAGGCTTTGAAAATCCTACTGCTATGTTTTACCTTCTTTCATGGGAGAGCACACATTTATCTTACTTGTAACTTGACTGCTTGTCCACATTTCTTCCTATCACCTATCACCATAAGCATTCCTATCTTTTTTATCATGCCAACTCTGAGTTACATTCTGCCCAAAACTACCCTGGGGCAGTGGAAAGGGGAAAGGATCTATAACTGCGCCTGACCTGCCTTCTAAGACAAAATAAACAGAGGAAGTTATACCTGGATGAACAGATAGTAAGATGTGGCCTCAGTTATAATTCAGCTAATAATAGAGCTTCAAGAAAGAGCAGTAACAGATACTGGGCTGAGCAATGCTGAAAAATCCAGGCAAGCATCCAGCCAGGCAGGCAGCTGGGAGATAAGTTCAGTAAATACATGTCTGTAATGGGAGATTACAGAACCTGGAAGATTGGCCAGTGAAGTGCTAGGCAGTCCAGTGCTGAGCAGCCAGGTTGAAAAGACCAGGTTCAGTTCTTGGGATAAGGGAGCTGCACAGATGCACAATACAAAAGATTGGGTCCACTGGAAAGCAAAGGAAGGGTATGACTTGGGCAATTCTGAAACGTAGGGCTAATTTCAGAGGTACCTATACTTGGCTTGACCAGCAGGGCAGCATACTTGGAAAACAACAGTCAATACAAATTACCACCCTTTGACTAACATACCCATTTTCCCAGCAAGTAATTTAATACTGTATCAATAACAACAGTGAGACAATGGGCTGTCTTTTTCATCACTATCAGAATCACCTTTGAGCTGAAAATGGTATTGATGATGAAAGGGAGGGGGGTGTTTTATTAAGCAAACATTCTTGTAATGAGCGAGGAAAGAACAAGGAAAATGTTTACGGGGAAACGAGTTGACTTTCTCCTATACTTTACCTTTCTATCACCTGCTGTGGTACTTCAGTAATTCCAGGGGTCCCCAAAAGTGCACACACCCTATGAATCTTCTCATTTCAGCTGAGTCATGTAATAAACAATGCCAGGAAAGTTAAATGGGCTACATTTTAGGGATCAACATTAAATTTTTATTTACTTTACAACATTCAGAATTTTATATGATTTTCAGGAAAAATTAAATCTCCTT